TGTCGGTGGTTATTAGCAGATTATTAGTTTGTTCCTGAAATAAATAATGGCTGAAAAACGAAAGAAGGTTATGTTAACGATTCCACAAAAAATAGAAATGATTTCTAAAATAGAAAATGGCGCATCAAGAAAGCAAATGTGTTTACAATACGGGATTGGGGAAACAACAGTGCGAGATGTTTTAAAGCAAAAAGAAAAGTTATTGGCTTTTGCAACAGTTTCAAACAGTGTTTCTGAAATGAAAAAACGAAAAACAATGAAGAAATCCACGTACAGTGAACTTGACTCGGCATTAGCGGAGTAACTAGCTCAAGAGCGAAGTGAAGGCACTCTTGTATCCGGTCCTAACATTGCAGCTAAAGCAAAAGTCTTCTTTGATTTGTTAGGACTGGAAGGAAATTTTGATGCGTCGTCCGGTTGGTTACATCGTTTTAAGAAACGTTATGGAATTAGGGAGATAGGTCTTCATGGGGAAAAGCTGAGCGGTGATCAACAAGCAGCTGACGATTTTCAACGTGATTTTGAAAAGTTTGTAATGTCGGAAGATTTGTCACCAGAACAAATTTATAATGCTGATGAATTAGGGCTTTTTTGGAAGTGTCTTCCCACTCGCACTATAGCATTTGAAAGTGAACATAAAGCGACAGGACACAAAAGTAGCAAGGAAAGAATCACAATCTTGCCATGCAGCAATGCTGCTGGTACCTACCCACAAACTGAAACTTCTTGTAATCGGTAAATCTAAGAAACCAAGGTCTTTTAAGGGACAAGAGCAGACAATTTACCAGTCGATTATTTCAATCAAAAAAAAGGTTGGATGAACCAGCAGATTTTTCAAGAATGGTTTGAAAAGATTTTTGTGCCTCAAGTACGTAAACACCTTGATTCAAAGAATTTACCAAGAAAGGCCGTTTTATTAATTGACAACGCGCCTTCACACCCTGCCGCAAGTGTGCTTAAATCTTCTGATGAACAAATTTTTGCCCCCAAATGTTACTGCGCTCATACAGCCTATGGACCAGGGGGTCATTGCAACTGTGAACAGGATATACAGAACATAGTTGGTAAAAACAAAAATTGCAGAAGGTTACGATTTTAAGCAGCTTTGGAAGATGTATATAATTTTGGATAGCATTTACGATATTGCGTTTGCATGGGATTGTATTAAACCGTCAACCCTCGTCAAATCGTAGAGAAAACTCTTTCCAAATATTGAAGTAAATGTCAACCAAAACATTGGTGAAGAACATAATGAAGATATGCCTATCGCTGCACTTATTGACTTAGTGACATCCGTTCCGGGAGGTGAGAATGTAAATCAAGAAAACATAGAAGAGTGGCTGGAATGTGACAAAAATGAGCCAGGGTTTGAACGACTATCTGACGTAGAAATAACAAACAAAGCAATGGGAGTGAACGAAGAAAACGAAGAAATTGAAAGTGAAGAAGGCGAGGTGCTTGCGCGGATGACACATGAAACTGCTTTGCAGCATGTAGACGGATTGCTTCAATATTTAGAGGAGCAAGACGACGCACATCTGGCAGAAAAACTTATGCTAAGGAACGTACAATCCAGAATAAAGAAAAGGTGCTTCCAAAGCAAGAAGCAAAAGCTAGTGACCGATTTTTTTAAAAAGATGTAACTGACAGTTTTTGTCTACAGTACAGTTTTGTTTACAGTACAGTGATACAATACATATGTACATATTATTTTTTGTTTATTACTAGTCTTTACTTTAGTCTTTAGTGATTTNAGTTTTGCAACCTAGTTGGTTCCACAAAACTTGATTTCAAATTAAAGCTCTTTAGAAAGTCGAGCATCCTCAAGGTTTTTTTATCATTTGTTCCAAAGTGAACATTAAAGTCACCAACTAGAAAGATATCAGTCCGCTTTCTAATTAGTGACGTCATCCCCCTGGAGAGCACCTCCTCAAAGCCATCCAAGTTGAGCTTATTTTGAGCTTATTTTATTGAGCTTGGGGTAAAATTTTCTGCAACAAAAAAGGACGACCAAATTGCAGTCTATAGACCGGTAACTCGACAGGGATTGGTAACTTTTTACAAGCATGTAGAGGGTCTAGATTGGCACTTTGTATCAGACCCGACGCTTGATGTTGAAACAAAATTTAATAATTTTAGCAAAATTCTGTATGCATTAATAAACTACAATTTCCCCTTAAAACAAAAACCAAAAACACAAAAATGTAAAATAGTACCTGACGTTAATTTAGAATGATGAAATGATGAAAGGATCTTGTTGGCCGATAACAAGTCAAAAGTGTCTTGGGAGATTATAAATGAATACACAAAAAAAGCAGAAGTTGATACGTCTTGTTCTATTTCAGCAAATGATTTTAATAATTATTTTTCAAGTACCGCGCGTGACATTATCAACGCTATACCACATACAAATAAATCCCCCACGGACTATATAAGCCCGGAAATAAGATACAAAACCTTTACTTTTAGAGATGTAACCTTTATAGAGGTTCGAGATGCAATAGAGGGATTGAAGAATAGAAACAGCAAAGACGCGTACAACCTAAACACAAAAATTTTAAAATCAATAATTAATTTAATATATATCCCGCTTACAAAATTATTTAATCTATGTTCATCCTTAAAGGTGTCGCGGGTTGTACCCGTATTCAAAAAAGGAGATAGAAGGGATGTTGGTAATTATAGACCTATTTCTCTCATACCCGTGCTTTCAAAAGTGTTTGAGTCTCTGTTGGCGAAAATGATATATCAACATTTTGAGGACAACAGGATGTTTACAGACAGCCAATTTGATATAGAGCAGGATTATCTACGTCGGCTGCTATACTTGAGTTGTCCAATGCTGCTGCAGACGCCTTTCACTACGGAGCATATGCGGGAGCTTTATTTTGTGATTTTAGTAAAGCGTTTGACTCGGTTTCGTTCGATATCCTAATTGAAAAATTAAAATGTTATCAATTTTCTAGTAAAGCGATAGATTTGATTCATGGCTATCTGAACAATAGAATGCAATATGTTACATGCAACGGGGAGGACTCGAGTATGGCAAGTCTGAGTTGTGGTGTCCCTCAGGGGTCCTCTTTTGTTTTTGATTTTGAGAATTTAACGAATTAATTTTAAAGCTTGAATCTTCTCAAACGCTTTTATCTGAATGGTTTTGCACAAATAAATTAAAATTAAATGCAGAAAAGACAGAGAAACTCATATTTACATTGAAAAATCTACCAGTATCTGAAAGCATTTATAAAACTGAAGTGAGTTTATCTTGATTCCACATTAGTTTGGGACAAACATATAGAACATATTTCGGGACAATTGTGCAAGACCACTTATCTCCTAAGAAATCTATTTAGTAAAATCAGTACAAAACTGATGTTGCTGATTTATTTTTCTTTATTTCACTCTGTTGCATCGTATGCTATAATATCATGGGGTCATTCTTACCACATGCACAGAATCTTTAAATTGCAACGACGGGCTATACGTATTATCATGGGATTGCAGTATAGAGATGATGTGAGGGATTTTTTTGTAAGTCACAATATAATGACAGTTCCATGTCTATATATATATATAGAACTTTAATATATTTAAAAAGTAATCTCTCAAGATACCAAACAGTTCAGAGTGTGCATAATCACACCGTACGATCGCACCAAAATATCAGAACCCCTTTTACAAGAGTGGCTAGAGGTCGAAATGCTGTCAACCATTTTGGGCCGTCACTTTATAATAAATTGCCACAAGATGTAAGGGATCTTCCAGTGAAACATTTTAACACTAAAATAAAAGACTACTTGCTTAGACGTGCCTTTTATTCCGTAGAAGACTTTGACTTTACATAACATATTTTAATATACATATCTTACTACATATTTGAATTATTTTATTTATATATTTAATTATTTTAATTTTATTATACATATGTGTATGCTATTATTATATATTTTGTTTGTATTTTATGTGACTTGTGTAATGAATGTAATGTTCTGTGACACCAATAAATCTGAATCTGAAGAAAATTTATTTGAAATTTAGTAAAGGTTTCATCAAGTCTCGCCGATTTAAAACGCCTACAGAAAGTGTAAGCGGCTTGAAATGACTTTGAACGCCTTTAGACGCATTTAAGCTACTTAAAACAAATTTTATTTCTATTTGAGTTCAGATTTCGACTCCGATTTTGTTACAAAATTAAACTGAATACTAGAGTTTAGAAGGAATCTCTTTGAGATTTTGGACGTTTGGGGAATACCCGAAATTTCATCTATCTCGCAATACATGAATGTAATAACCATAGATATGAAACTACTATGCACTTACACTGTCCCATATAAAATGGAACATGTTAGTTCTAATTCGGATTTAACAAAAATATACAAGAACCTAACACTGCACTAAAACTAGAACTTAAATAAAGAAACTTAGATAGCAAAAAATTGCTTATCTTTTTTTTTAAATAAATTTATTCGATGTGTGCACATACGTCTTGATTATTTTTATTGCGATCCATAAAATTTATACGCTAAGGATATAGCCCGTCTTAAAAATCTACAATTTACAACTCGCACTTCCGTATCGGTGCTTTAACTCAGCCAGAAACGACGGAATCGAATCGTTTGAGTTGACACCGACTGCTGCTGTATACGACGTCGACAGAAATTTTTCACCATGAGAAATATTAAATTTTAAACCCGGGCTGTAACGTTCCGGTAGTGCACGAAATACCGAACAACCCTGGCGACGCTCTGAATAGATAATACCAACCTGGTGGGCGAAACTGTTAAAATGCCGAAGGTGTTAATTAAAAAAATCTTTAATGAGCGAGGTGTTTTTCCAAGGATTTACGAAGTAGAGATGAAAACAAAAAAGGGCCCCTTTTTTTAGAATCGAAAATTACTTTTCTGCGTCTTAAGTATTTTAAAACGTTAAATTAGGTATATTTTTGTAATCGATTAGGTAATGTTTTTCTGAGTAGCTAATTACTTTTTATTTTTTTTCAGAATTGATTACTTACTTCGTTTCGATGCAAGTAGATAAACCAATAAACCTTCGCGATGATCAACTGAAAAAATTCAGTGACAATCAGGTAAGTCAAAAGTGATAAAAGCACACCGATTTTTTATTCAATTTGGCCGGGTTTAATCGAGTATAACCATCGGAAATCCGGCGTTGATATGCGTTACTCATAAAACTTTATAATTTTCCGGGTTCGCGTTGCAGGTTCGGATTTATAACAACCCGGTTAAAACTTTGTACCATGACCGTATCTCTCGGCCGTACGCCGAACCTGATCATCAGTGTTACCAACCGCAAACAAAACGAGCGCTGAAAGCTTTACCCTATGCTGTATGTTGAAGGTAATAAATTTACTCTCACAGGTGTGATTTAAAATGCATATGCGGTCATTTCTGTGAAATTTAAAATAGGTATTTGAAGTTGTTCTAAAAGTAGAAATTGAAATATGCTGAGCTGCCAACAGTTAATGGTTCAATATTTAATTTTCTATTTTTTATTCTTTGTTTAAATTTTGAATACAAATTAGCATTTTTCTAACAAAAATTGAATGAAAACACTATTATAATTTTATATAAAGTAAATATACAAAGTAACACCAATAAGGTTATATTACAATAAGCGCCGTCATTTTGCAATGTGCCCGGCAAATTGGAAAATTATCTCATATTTTGTAAACAGCCTGAAATTTTTTAGGCTTATTACAATAAGCCCACGAACCATCAGTCCAATTGGAAAGTGGACAACTATTTCTTTAAAAAGCCTGGTTTTATTGAGGCTTTTTGCAATTAGCCTTACAGTCGACGGCGTATTAAGAATAAGCTAGGGGTGGGGTTGGGTTGGGTTGGGTTGTTAATTTTCAAGTTTTTGTTAATTTAATTTTCTTTATATTATTATTGTATTATATGTTCTATTTTAACATTGATCTGAATGATCTGTTTTGTTAATATGTGATAAATGTTTATCAATAAAAACTTGTTCATCAAAAATTGTCGTTTTTCAACTTTCTTGCATAAAATAACCTATAATTAGTTCAAATACTTCAAGAATACTTTAAGGTCAGGTAATTTTCTCGGTATAATTTTAGTGAACTTATATTAGCCTAGGTTTATTGCAATAAGACTAGAAACCACCAGGCTTTTTGATGAAACTGGTGCTTACTTTCTAATTAGCCTAACTGTATGTGCGCTTATTATAATAAGCCTAAGAAATTTGAGGCCGATTAAAAAATGTGAGATAATTTTCCAATTTGCCAGGCACATTGCAAAATGACGGCGCTTATTGTAATAAGCCGGATTTTGTAATTTGCCTACAACATATACATTGATAAAATTAGCAGGGTGCAGGTATTAAAAGTTCAAAAAAGCTATAATCTCTTCACTGAGATACCAGAAACTTTAACATCTACATTTGCAGATGGCACAGCGATCTTGGCTGTTGCAGAAAATGAAGTAGTTGCAGCAAATAAGTTACAATTGACCTTAAATTCAATAGAAAACTGGACCAAACGATGGCTAATAAAATTAAATACAAATAAATCGACATACATAAACATTACTTATAAGAAAGTAAACTATGTCCCAGTGCACATAAATGGCAATGCAGTCCCTTACGTCGATACCGCAAAATATCTTGGTATGACGCTGGATACCAAACTCAAAGGGAAAGCTCACGTCAAAAAAAAACGTGAGGAACTTGATACCAAAGTTAGACACCTATATTGGCTTATTGGCAGAAAATCTACGTTATCACTGAATGTGGCTACACACCTAACTGCAAACTTGACAAGCATGATCAATCTTTTTGTACAAGCATGTACAATTTCCCTTCGACACCACACGATATAAGTATGCTTGAAAAAGCGCTGATTAAAATTCAATCCATCATCAAGCGGATTGCACAACGGAAATGTTTGTGCAAAATTATCCTACAAACGCTAAAGCATACTTGTACAAAAAGATTGATCATGCATACTTGTCAAGTACCTTTAGAGACAAGTTGCTAATATACAAGTCTTAAAGTACAAGTACATACAAGTATTAAAACCAAAATTGACATACGGAATCCAACTGTGAGGTTGTACCTACAAGACAAATACAAGTCTGATTCAAAGATTCCAAAATAAAGTACTAAGGTGCATAGTGAATGCACCTTGGAAAAATAGTAATAATGAAAAATGAACCTTACCAAACATTCTTTTCCGGGGTGATTGACAGCCGTAAACAATACTGACCTATCCTAACATTCCTTCATGCTATAATTAGGGTTTCTTCACGCTTTAATTGGTGTTTCAAAATAAAACTGATCTATCCTAACATTCCTTCACGCTATAATTAGAGTTTCTTCACGCTTTAATTGGGGTTTCAAAACAAAGCTACCTGTCTTAACATTCCTTCACGCTATAATTAGAGTTTCTTCACGCTTTAATTGGGGTTTCAAAACAAAGCTACCTGTCTTAACATTCCTTCACGCTATAATTAGAGTTTCTTCACGCTTTAATTAGGATTCAAAAGAAAACTACTTGTCTTAACATTCCTTCACGCTTTAATTGGGGGTTTCAAAAGAAAACTGACCTATTCTAACATTGCCCAATATTTTTGTCAGAGTTGATTGACATTTGTAAACAAAACTAACCTAACTCAACTTTTCTTTTCTGGGAGTCATTGCTCATTTTTCGTTAATCTTACTATGTTAAAACATATTCTTTAATGTGATAGAAAAAATTTCGAATTTTGTTTTACTTTTACTGGTTTATTTACATTTTTGTTGTCTAACTAGTTTCGGCAAAAGCCATCATCAGAGACAAAAGTCATTGTATCTTACAGGAAATTAACATCGAAAATATAAAGCGGGGAACAAATTAAAATTATTACTGTCACAAAATTTACTTAAAATACATGTAAAAATTCTTTTACAAAACTTTAAAGATTTAACTCCGCATGGACATCTTTTGTGGTAGATGTTACAAGATGGTTTGACCATCTTTCAGACCATCTTCTTCTTTTTACTTTTCTTCTTCTTTACTTAAAATACATGTAAAAATTCTTTTACAAAAGTAGTATAGAAACGCCGATTCTAGACCGGAAATTGCACCTCCGCACCTCCGTGACGTCATCAATCCAATGTAAAAGGATAGGGAAGGGTACCAACCTAAGGCGGAGGTGAAAAAAAAAATAGGTTATTGGAAAAGTAACTAGATCTGGTGACTTTTTTGACTTTTTAGTGGTTGGTAGTGGTTTTAATCCACTACCAACAGTAGACTGTTACTTTTTTTAAAAAATCACCAGGTCTAGTTACCAACCTATTTTTTCCCCCAAGCCTTTGGTTGACACCCCTCCCTATCCTTTTACATTGGGCGGATGACGTCACGGAGGTGCGACAACTTCCTGTCTAGAAACTTTAAAGATTTAACTCCGCATGGACATCTTTTGTGGTAGATGTTACAAGATGGTTTGACCATCTTTCAGACCATCTTCTTCTTTTTACTTTTCTTCTTCTTTACTTAAAATACATGTAAAAATTCTTTTACAAAAGTAGTATAGAAACGCCGATTCTAGACCGGAAATTGCACCTCCGCACCTCCGTGACGTCATCAATCCAATGTAAAAGGATAGGGAAGGGTACCAACCTAAGGCGGAGGTGAAAAAAAAAATAGGTTGGTATTGGAAAAGTAACTAGATCTGGTGACTTTTTTGATTTTTTAGTGGTTGGTAGTGGAACTAAACCACTACCAACCAGGAAGACTGTTAATTTTTTTAAAAAATCACCAGGTCTAGTTACCAACCTATTTTTTCCCCCAAGCCTTTGGTTGACACCCCTCCCTATCCTTTTACATTGGGCGGATGACGTCACGGAGGTGCGACAACTTCCTGTCTAGAAACTTTAAAGATTTAACTCCGCATGAACATCTTTTGTGGTAGATGTTACAAGATGGTCTGACCATCTTTTTAATTTTTACATGTATTTTAAGTAAATTTTGTGACAGTAATAATTTTAATTTGTTCACCGGTTTATATTTTCGATGTTAATTTCCTGTAAGATACAATGACTTTTGTCTCTGATGATGGCTTTTGCCGAAACTAGTTAGACAACAAAAATATAAATAAACCAGTAAAAGTATAACAAAATCGAAATTTTTTCTATCACGTTAAACAAACTGGTATAATGGATATTAACTTCAATTTCAACCTAATATTCTTTAATATTTTGCTGGAACTACGTAGGACAGACAATAGTTATACTCGAGGTTATACTCCAATTTTGGTGATAAATGAGATATTCGCGTTTGTCGTTTTCGCAAATTTTTCAGTTTTTGCTGATAGAATAAAAACAATAGACGATAGCTGTTTGGAGTTTTCGGCATTAACAGTTTCTCGGAAAACGAGATCATAACATGTAAGCTACTTTTTTAATATCTCTTTTAGTTTCGGAGATAGCTTATGCGGATAACGAATTTGGGACACTCTATACGCAAGATTATTTGGTATTATCGTATTGAAAAGAGGAAATTCTGAAAAATATTGAAATGATTCCTAAAAAAAACTCTCTTTTTAATTAATTCTAATTGCAATAGATTTCACAACTGTTTCAGTTTAATAACAAATACAACTAAAATTTTTGTTCGGATTTCCCAATACAAATAGGTCAATGTTTGCAACTACTGCTAGCCATCTTGCACCCGTATAAAGTCGCTAAAAACACACAACAACGAGCGAGTTTGTCGGCGAAAATGAAAAATTGAATAGGCCATAAAAAACATCTGTTCCAACTTCCAACTACGTTTTCTCCAGAGTTCCCGGTTTGTTCCGCAATTTACTCTTTCTTTCCATTCTATTGTTCAATGTAGCAAAAAAAGTACACGGTAAACGGTACCTAACTCCCAAGATATCGTTTAAATATTTTTTTGTACCTATTCGAAAACAGGAAATCCCATTTTTAAGATATAGGGTAATAATTTACTTTCTGACAAAGTCTATTAAACGAAATTGTGTTGACTTGTATTTCCATATTCAACGGGAACCCATTAAATGCTAATCAGTCATTTTCTTAGTATCGTATTTCATTCTCTGTTAA